TGTAAAAATACAATTTTATAAGAGGTTTAAATCTTGTAACATCCGTTACGTAACGGATGTTACAAGCCTTAAATAGGTGTTTCTGACTGCACTTACAAAGATTTTGTTTTAAATTCTTTGGCTGTTGTTTAACATAACCTCAAATTGTCTATGCTGCAACACAGACAGTGAAGGTTGCATGACAAATGTTTGCGAGAATTGTAAGACTGATGTGAAGACTATTTTAAACTAGGTGTACAATGCAGTTTTCTGCTTGCAATATTGAGCGGAGCCAGCATATTAATTCAATGTCAATGATATATTTGGTTCGCATTTTAAATAGAATGCCTAATTGCAGTAGGTATCCAAAGTCAATCATAAGTCAGGATTAAGTGAATGAATTGTCTACTTGCAGGAACCATATTCTATGTTTCATCTGGTTCTCATAAGTTAAATGTCTACTTTCAGTAACCAATGCCAATGATACATTTGGTTCGCATAAATGTAATGCCAATTTAAGGATTCTAAAGTCAATTGTACGTCCGGTTCACGTAGACGGATTGTTTACTTGTAGTATCCAAACTCAATGGTACATGTAAATGAATAGTCTACTTGCAGTATCCTAAATCATGGTCCATTTATTTCGTTCACTTAAATAAAATGCCGAATTGCAGTATCCGAAGTCAATGGTAGGCTTAGGCCTACTTCTGCTTCACTTATATGGGATGTCTATGTGCAGTATTTAAAGTCAATTATGCGTCGGGTTCATGTCAACGAATTGTGTAATTGCAGTATCGAAACTATGAGTGTTATATTTGGTTCACCTTAATGGAATTCCTATTTGTACACTGCAAATAGGAATTGCAGTACATATTCAAAGTCTACATTAATGGCACGTCTTGCTCACATAAAATACTGTAAAAGTTATTTACAGTATCCAAACGCAATATGGTGCATTAGCCTAATTCTGGCAACCCTTATGGTTATTCATTTTGTAGTAAATTATGCTCAATGCTATTAATCAAAAGTAGGAGTGTAGTATAAGAGAAGTTATAAAGTCAATGATAAGAGCTTCGCTACGCTCTGCTCAATAATTTCTATATCCTGCAAATGAATCATGGTAAACCTATGCGATACCTGAATTATTAAAAGGCAATAACGTGCATTATTTGAGATCCCAGGTTCGAATCTCCTCGGCGGCCTTAAAGTTTTGCTTCTGATTTTGTTAAAATATGATTTTCTCTTAACTTCACTAATCAGTTTTTTTTATCTGAGACATTTATAATTTAATTTTGTGATAAGAATGCATTTTTTATATAAATACATTAACTTTTTGTTTGTAATAATTTCCTAACAGCGAATAATTGAGATAGGCTAATCGATAATATAATTAGGTCTAGTTTTATTTCAGCAGTTAAAAGTAAGAAATATATTGTCAACCACTTTCAAAATTTCCCTTTGGTGCAATACAATTTATCAATACGACTATAATGTAGACTACAAAGAATAAGTGAAAACTTTAGGAATTGGTTTACCGGTACGTTACATAACATTTATAATGACATCAAAATAAGCAGTTTGCTTAACTTGAAACCTTATTATTCCTAGTAGCTGGAACCTATATATTTTTTCCAACCTAACTTTAGACTACTACATGGCAATGTTTAAAACTATTTTGTAAGTTAGTATCGCAGAGTAAAGCGAGGTGGTAGACAATAGGCCTACCAGTAGGCATATTTGGTTTAAAACGACGTTGTTACATCTTCTCATGAATTTGACAGAGGAGCATATAGTCCTAATTTAATTAATGATTAATTCTTTTCGAAGTGCACACAGCAATATTAGTGTTAATCCTTTGGGATTTTATTGTCTAAGTTACACCATTTAGTTGTAAACCTTATCTGTAAACCAAGTGGTTGTGATTTCATTTCGTAAAATTATTTTGTATTTTTAGCTACAGGTACATTTTTTTACAAATTTACTTGCAAATCAAGGGCAGTGTGATTTTTGTCGGTATAATTATGTTATAGTGTTTTTTAATGCCCTCGTTTTAACTTCTCCTTCTCCACGCTACATAGGCCTAGGTCTAATTAGTTGACTATTCATTGTTGTTAAAAAGAACAGAACGATTATACAATTAAATATAAACGTCATGATTTTAATCACTCAATATATGACTGATTGTTAATCACTTCGTATTACATGCAATTAACTAATATGCTCTTTAGTATTCATCAGATTTTTTCTTTTGTACTGTATTTATAATGTGGTAGATTTGTTGACTAACATATGTCGAGGCTCTTGTTTACTTTTTATTGTTTACTCGCAAATAATGTCATGGCAACCAATTAACCCATAAGGCCCATGTTAAATTTCTAAAAGTTTGCATTCATGTAGGGAATATTCCTATGGTCCGATTTGTACCATTTCAGATTTATACCTTCCCATGGTTGGGTACTATGACTGTGTTAAATTTCGTGAAGATCGCTTCAGCCGTTCAGGAGGAGTATTTGTAATAAAAAAGCAGGAGTGTAGTATAAGAGCTTCGCTCAATGAAAATACTGACTACTCCGTAACTGTAAAGTGGAAATCATGGCGGAAAGAGGATGGAAAGTATCAAGTCATGGAAAATTCAACGCCTCTTCAAGATGTACTCAACAAAATAAATGAGACATTACCTGCTTTTAAGTTTCACTGTTTTGTAAAAAATGTCCAATCTGAACATTTTGATCATATGAAAAACAACATTGATAAAGGGTCAGCAGTAATACAGATTGATTACGCAGAAAACTTTGCCCTAACATCTCAAGATGAGATACAAAGTGCCCATTGGTGCCATGCTCAGGTAACACTTTTTACCGCATGAATTTGGTATGAACATGGAGTAAAATCGTACGTTGTCGTTAGTGATGACATGTCACATTCAAAGGAATGTAGCTGGGTTTTCTTAAAGGCGGTTGTTGATGATTTTAAGCAGTTTGAGTACGAAGAACTTAAAACCCTCTCAGTTTTCTCTGACAATTGCTCAGCCCAATTCAAGAGCAAGTTTACAGTGTCCAATGTCTGTTACCTGGCTTCTGATTTGAACTTAACAGATGTTCAGTGGAGCTCTTTTGCAGCTGGACATGGCAAGGGTGCAGTAGATGCTATTGGTGGCCAGCTGAAGCGAAACATTTGGATACGAGTTAAGTCAAAATCAGTGATCTTAAATACACCACAAGACTTTTTCAATGCGTGTCAGACATATTGCAACTTGGTTACAACCCTGTTTGTCTCAAAAGAAGATGTTGATGCAACCGGTGACAAGTTACTCAAAAAAAGATGGGAACAATCTGTTGAGATAATTGGAATACGAAAATACAATCATTTCCAGAAGCTAGATGATGATCATGTACTAGCTGCAGTAACATGCAGATCACACATGCAAAAACATCAAGTCATCAAGGCTGAAAAATCAAAACAGAAGAAGACTCGTGTGAGATATTGTGATGTATATTCAACAGATTCAGAGGACGGAGTTGGTAGAAGAAAGTCAAATTATCCCTGACAAATATGTTCTGGTAAAATACCACACTCACAGGAACAATTTGTTTTATGCAGCCGTTTGCCAATCAGCTGTTACCGATGATGGGGAAGTTAGTGTTTTATTTCTGACCAGCCATGGAAAAAACGGACGAGTCTTTAAAGTTGGTGAAGAAGGAGAGAAATACATTGGTGTGGAGAAAGTAGTAAAAATTTTGCCATCTCCCAAAATAATAGCAGCAGGAAATAGGCTTTACTATGAGTTTACTCTACCTCTTCCAGTGTCGTAATTAAATACAGCTAGTAAACTAGACCACTGCAAACAGTAAAGTTCAATTTATTCAAATAATTATATTCATAACTGGTAAATAGTTTTAAGTAATAATTGTGAGTGTCAGTTCTATGTAAAACAAATCCAATGGTAAAACAATATTTTTAAATAAACAATTTAGTAACCTACTTTGTGTTAACTTATTACCAGCTGCTGCATTTGAACGTAATCTTTTTATATAAGAACAATTAATGGTTTGAGGTTGTAATATGTGATAAATGTTAACAATAAATAAGTAATAATTTGCATATCTGACAAAAGAATTATGAATTTCATGTAAAAAGTTTAGTTTTGAAAGAACTAGCCAAATGTGAATTAAGTGTAACATCCGTTACGAAATAAGAGTAACATCCGTTACACTAGTAAATAATTGTTTTAAAATTGCCTGATAATGTTTATTAAAACAAATAAGTGCAAATAAATACTATACTTACTTCAGTAAGCCTACATAATAGCATTTTTCATTTAAAATTTGTAGATGAACTGAATTTTCAATGGAATGACATGATTATTTAGGCAGGTTCACAATTGTGTAACATCCGTTACGCGAAAAAATAATTTTTTATTCGTTTATTCATCAATGAAACATACCCAAACTTACACTCCATATTAAGACCAACCTTATTTACCAACCAAAAGTCTTAAAATGGATAATTAATAATATTTAAAGTCAATATTAACATTTAATTAGTGAAAATGTAACATCCTTTACATACGGATTGGCTGAAATACTTAAAATGTGAAGGTAAAAAATTATTAGTCAGTAAATTAAGATTCTGATGAAGCATGTCATTGGCAAGAGGCACGTGCTACAGGATTAAATTTCTCTTTGATCAGTTAACCGTTGTAAAACATGTCCTTAAACAGCCTAACGTTGTATGAAACTAATGTAAACTTCAATACTTTAGGTGTAAAAGCTAAATAATAGACTACAGTACAGTCAATGTTGAAAGCTATATTTTTTACAATTAGTCTACTTTCTAGCCCTTTAACCATTAGTTAGCACTATCATCTCCCATATTAGGGTAAATCAACTTTCAATCAGAAAACAATGCAAATTAGGCTATTCTTAAGAGTGTGTAACAATTAAATTAAAACTTATCTTCTAAATACATTCTATGCTGAAATGAAAACCTTACTCAAATCGAAAGGTAAATAATATGTAAACTCTTTTACTAAAGTGAATTCCGGTAGTTGAATGTATGATAACACGCTTCTTCCAAGATGAGTATCAAGTTTGTGATGAGTGATTCTGTGTGATTGATATTGGTTGTGATGCGTATGCCAGGTCTCGTCAATGCAACGTCACTCTCAGGCAATCTAGCAGCTGCAGTTATCACAATGTTCCGCTGGAAACAGAAATCCGAAATGTTCAAAATAATTGCCTCCTGATCATCTTGTTTGCCATCACGTCTCAATGTTAACACATGCACAGGACTATCCACCCCTCCACTGACGTGGAAATACTTGTTTATCACAGTTGAGTTAATGAGCTTGTCGTGCATGCAGTTACATATTGTTTGTAGTTTTTCTAGTTTCTCTGGGTGGGTTTGTATCTCGTTCAAGGCTAGTAAACTGGCTTTTACCAATAGAGGTGGAAGTGAAGCTGAAAACATGTATCCCAGAGCAGCCGCTTGTAGATGATCAACAAGAAATCTAGATCCTGCGCAGAACCCTCCAACTGAAGCAAATGCAAACTCAAAACTACCCATAATCAAATCTACGTCGTTCAAAGGGATTCCAAAATATTCTGTGATCCCACGTCCAGTTTTACCCAAAACTCCAAACGAAATACTTTCGTCCATGAAAATTCGTAGTTTGTATTTTTTACACAGTTTGATTACGTTGGGCAAATCACAAATTTCTCCTGTGTTAAAATAAATACCTTCTACTACCATGTGTCTTCTAGACTTACGAGCTTTTCTAAGGTTTAAAAGGTCTATGTTTTTGGTTTCTTCTAAAATCCGTTCAAGGTCCTGCATGTCGTTGTGTTTAAAGTATTTAATTTCACTTTTAGATGCTCTTAAGCCTTGCTGAATGGCGTAGTTGCATTTTTCGTCAACAAATACTATATCATTCTTTTTGGCGTATGCAGGTATAGTACTTGCAATTGTTGAAAAGCCATAAGAAATCATAATTGAATCTTCAGTTCCTAAAAATTGTGCCAATTGTTGTTCGAGTTCTAGATGGTGAATTGAAGTTCCGTAGAAACCTCGAGGTCCACAAGCGCCCACACCATAAACACTTATGCACTCCTTTGTCTCATTTTCAAACTCTTCGTTGCCCATGAAACCCAAATAATCGTGAGTTGCGAAATTCAACCTTTCCACCCCATCTATGACAACTTTATATCCTACTTTCCCTTGCAATACACGAGGGTTCAATGCATGGTGTGTTGATGATATTTCTGGAACTAAATCCTCTGGAGTATATTTGGTTATTAAGTCTTCTTCTTCAGATTTTGTTAAATTTTTCAACGTATTGGAATTTTTTTTCTTTAGAATAATCCAGATTGTTCCTAAAAAAAGTAGTATTTCTACAAGAACATAAACCAGATTCTCTTCAAATGTTGCTGGGAAGTCACTAACATGAGCTTTCATATTGAATAAACTATTGTTTGTATCATTCATTTTTTAGTTTCAAACTATGGTAGAAAATTATTTAAATCTACTATTACCTAACAAACATACAAATTAAAATCTTGAAAAATAGTCTCCTTTCAACTTGGGGATTAAATTGTTTATGTTTCTCAACCAAAATAACAATATTAATTTGAACAGCTGATAATTCCCAAATACAACCAAACCTATTTTAAATATACCAAAGACCACAATTCTTAGAATCTTTATCCCTAAAATATACTTTTGCTATGTTATAAGGCTGTATATTTTACAAATATCCTATGAAGGTTACTTTTACTTATATTTCAAAGGATGAATATTCCGTCTGATATTAATATTTTTAAGCTGATATTTGACTTTTTTACATCTGTGTTGGATTAATTATTGCTTTTAGAGGGAAATTCATACAAATACCTCAGTCAACAAAGTGATTACCCAGAGGTGTTCACTTGTAAAAAATCAAATCACACTTAAGCCATCATAATTACTGTGCATTTTAGCTCAACATTTTACATTAGGCTATATAATTAATTAGGCTATCATGATGTTTTTTTTTTTTTTATCATTATACTCAAGAAAATGTTATGTGCAGTGGTGAACAACAAGTTCAATTAACAAAATATTTATATGCTATCACGATTATTATTCTTTTGACCTATTATTTCTTAGACCACCTTTTAGTTGGTATTCTTTTGTTATTCAAATAGAAAATATATAAATATTTTCCCAATATCTAAAGAAAACCGATGTATTGAACATTTTATCAATCCATTAAGTGCGGTACAGTAACATAGCAAATTCTTTTCACAAGGAATATAACATTTTAATTTTAAACTGAGGACATCTCTTGCAAACAGAACAAGCATTACAGTTTATGTTTATGTTTTATGTGTCGCATTAAGCTGGAGCAAAGCACATTTACTATTACAGCAACGACATCACCCTCATGAGAATAATGTGATTCGTCCTCTCTGCATACTCTATGATACTCTGATATGTCTTGGTTTTGCTCTGTGTTTTAGTTCTATTTGCTTTCTCTGCCTTTCACTGAATATCCTTTATGTATTACCAATCCATATACCGAAGCTCTGTGAAGTGTTAGAAAATTTAATTATACTATATTAAAGTGTAGTCGACAATAAAGTGCAGGCAGTTTCTGTCTTAAAGTTTAAAATCACTTAGAGCTACAGTACTGCATTGAAAGTTGTTAATTTTCTTCTGACAAACAGCTGATTTAAATCAAGCAGATAATTTTGTATTCTAAAAAAAAAAAAAAATAAACTGTGGTAGGTACTATATTTATATATATATATATATTTACCACATTAGTTTCTTTATGTTCTCATACTGAGCAAATTTACATGTAAGTGTATCTGTAATGTATAGCTTCTAGTATATTCTAGGTGTTGGTTGAATTGCAGATTGGAGTCTGTTATATAATCAATATTTGCAGGATACTTTTGCACAAACTGCAATTGCCAATAATAATGTTGATTACTCATTATTGTTTTTTGTTTCAGATCAGCATATGACAATGTGACAAAGACGAAGGTGGCCATCAAAAAGATTTCGCCGTTCGAGCATCAGACATATTGCCAGAGGACATTGCGAGAAATCAAAATCCTTACGAGGTTTAAGCATGAAAATGTAAGTTACTTTGTTACTATTGAACAAATATGTATAAGCTAGAAACCCTATATAGTGGTTAAAGCGCATAACTTCTGTTCTTTAGACGCTAGTTAAAATCCCTCCAAACACCAATGGCTTAGCTATGTTATATTGTTAAGACCTAGTTTTTAGAAGCTCACCCTAATCTGCTGGCTGTAGGTCTACAAAAAATATAGGTCTGTCAGAATAGAAGAACATTTTCTGTTAGAGAACTCGCTACACTTTAAGCGAACTTAAATACAGGTAAATGACAACAAACAATACTGCAAGAAATTTTAACTGCAATAGTACTAAAACAATTCATCAAAACTACACCTTGATTGACTAACTAACTAGTGGCTGAAAATTGTTTGAGGTTCATTTTAGAATTTCTGGTCCTAAAAACTCCTCACAATAGTAGGTATTTAGAGTAAATACCGTTTTTCTGCGTAAGGTAAAAAATATAGTCTTCTGAAACAATAAAATTTGTAATTCAACGTTGACATATGTAGCAAATTATGTAGTTAGTCATAAATAGTCAGTAAAAGGATATAGTTTATTTTTACCACAATTGTCTAGATCACATTTTTCTCATTTTCAATTGGTGTCTGACCTACACTCATCTCCATTCATACTTGGCTTAAACCTACCTTTGTATGGTCGACATTTAAATTAAAAGTATTAAAGTTGGTATTTGGTGGTAATGTTTAAATAGTTTTTTAACTGAACTAAATATCCATGGTGGTGGTTTTCGGCGTCAACTGCGTTGATAACTGCCAAGACATTTCGCCCTTACAAAGTGGCATCTCAGAGGCTAGGCTTAGTCTCCGCCTATTTGCGCCAAAAACCACCATCATGGATTTTTATGACACCGGCTGCAAAAGCCTATGTAAAAAGATCATAAAGGAACTATTAAAACATGTTGTTAGAACGCTGCATCCAAATTATATATTTAGGGTTCTCTGTTTCTAGGGGTTCTGTGGTTTAACTGGTCATAATCGACCAGTTAAATAACTATTTTATGTATATTAAGCCTAACTATCTTGTAAATGTGTAACGGTATAAGTGTAGATGTGTCAAAAGGTGTTGGTAAATTGTCTTCATGGGATTGAACTGGTAACCTTAATGTTGAAAGGAATCACTGTCAATTTCTGTTTTGTCCACCCTTTATTCGCTTGCTGAGGCGTTTTTCCTATTTTGCTTGGGCTATGATAGAATGAACTTTATTTAGTGCTATCTTGGCATGATAACTAAACCGGAAAACAGGAACATGAAATTAATTTAATGAAACGCATTAATATTGTGCTGTGAATTACTGTTCATTTAAGTGTTCATGAATAGTTTATATCCGTCCTAATGTTTTGCAAAGTAATAAAATTACAACCAGGAAAACCTTTCATACCACCTGATAACAGTACTTACATCTATGCCTTGCTGACCACACAGATATTTGGTCATACCTATGCAATGCACGTTCTGGCTGCATTGTGATTTGCATAGTTACCCTTTAGTACACTAACTTTGTTTTATTTCTTGTTTGAACTGTTTGCTGTTTTTTTTTCCTAATGTAATATTTTAGAAAATTAATTTAATAGTAATAGTACCAGGAGACCGAGCATTGCTCGAGGTGTTTGATTTGTTCAAGAGGTAAAAAAATAAAACCTATATGCCTACAAGTATTTTCATTTTGCTACGATTAATTAAGTTGTAAAGTCAATTTGTTTTTGGTAGACATTCATACATTCTAAATTTACCTAACAAACTTTTTCATATGGACGAGCAATCTATACAATAAACTTCATTATGAAAACTCATAATACATATTATCTGTTGACCGTTATTGTGTTAGCCACTGGGATCGTGGAACGTCGCAGCTATAATTACAGTATCGTGGAATAATGCACCAATTCTGGCGGCACATCGTCGAAAACTACAAAACGTCCTTGGCCTTTCCTTTAGACTTTTAGTTCAATATTAGTTTATAATGTTTTGCGGTAACTACTTTGAACAGTTGTTATTATCCCTTTGGTTTGTAATACATCATACTATCCACATGCAATTATATAATCAATGTTTAATACCATTCATAGAAGTTTCATAGACCTTTTTTTGTACTGTATTTTGTAATTTACTACTGTACTGTAGATGATTTGTTACTAGCATATGTTACAATCTATTTGTTTACATTTTCGTAAAACTGTCATAGATACTTGACAGCCCATAAGACTAATGTTAAAAATATTAAAATTTCATATTAATTTTTAATGAAAAACTAATTTTCCCAGAACAGAGCCTGGCATTGATATTGTTTCTAGCCTAAAACTAAGATAAAAGTTGCTCACAGGAGCCGTTTTTTAAATCATTGTGCGCAAACTTTACTCATATTATATTATAGATAGCTAATTCTCTACTAGAACCTTAAATGACTCTTCTTAACAGAAACTCAATTTTGACGAATAAAGTTAAATAGAGGTTAAAAATTAGTTGCGCTCATATGTTGTTTTAAAGATTGTTTCTTATTGTAGGTGATCGTAAATATCACGATTTTGTGATCCTTCCTTAGAGGCATGGAAAATGTAAAGTTGATAAGATAATGCTGTAAGAATCACCTTTGATTTATGACCAGGTGTGTAAGTGGATTATACTGTAGTTGCCATGGATACAGTTCTGCACAATACATGTACAGTCACTGCAGCCAGTGTTGAGGAATTAATTATTAAGGTCACATTGTTGTCGTATTATTGTTACTAGAGGTCGTCTGATAGTCAAAAACTCTACCAAAAATATGTAATGTTGGTACAGACTTCTCTATTTTCACTCCACGCTCTAAATAACACATGATTGGAATCTCTTCCATTTGTTTTGATTTTCTGTTTATATTTTGTTGTTATTTCGTCATCAGCATCTCAACCCATAAGGCCCATGATAATTTTTTTTAAATACATTTTTGTGCTTATTTTTTAGCCTATTTTAATTTATAAAGGGATTCTGCACATCTACAGGAAAATATCTTTCTAACAGTATGCGTAGATTTTCCTTGCGTCACAATCTGAGAAAAAGGTTTTCAATTAACATGCTTGCCTATCAATATATAGGATTATTATTATTATTATTATTATTAGCTTGAAAACATTGTTATAAACATATTTCTCAACAATTCACCTTCATTCTCTTATATCACCTCCCTCTTCCAAAGTAGAGCCCATTCTAGAGATGTCTAGCGATTCTTGGTCTTTCCATTTCATTTTAGCAAACTTACCATCTAGCGAATAAGCTATAACCGTAGTTTAGACCTAGACCCAAGAACGACTTACTTTTTCGTTTTGATATCAACAGAAGCCAAAAACACAGATCGTTCAAATTTATATTTATAGGTCATATAACTTGGTCTTTCCATTTCATTTTTGCAAATTTCCCAATTAGGAAATAAGCTACAAGAATAGGCGGCACGGTAAGACTTAGACTCAAGAAAGACTCACTTTTAGCGAATTTCCCATATAGGGAATAAGCTATTACCGTAGTACTCATGGTAAGACCTGGACCCGGGACCGATTTTTTTTTTCGTTTTGAGGTCCCTAGAGGTCAAAAACACCATCCGTTCAAATTCATATATATATATATATTTATATATATATATATTTGTCCGTTAGCGCGATAACTCGAGCAAAAATGATCCGATTTTGATGAAATTTGGTACAAACGTGTAAACCTACGTTTATTCGAACGAGTTCGCGAACCAGCATGATCGGACCATGGGAACGGGGGTTTATGGGGGCTTTTATGGGGTAAAAATGGGTTTTTCCCATTTTTGACCCAAAAAACATAAAATTTTGCAATTTCTTTCGAAACTATTTTGTAGAGCTTAAAAAAACAAATAATTTAGTATATTGAAGCGTTATAATGCGCCTAATGGTTACGGAGAAAATTCCAAAAAATTTTAAATTTAAAATTCCCATGTTATTCTTATGGAGAATAAGTAAACTGTTGTAGTTTGCTTGTTTATAAACATATTTTGCCCAAATTTGGAAAATGTTTTTATTTCTTATTAACTATTAACATTTTACATAAAAAACACTTTTACCCTCCCTGTTGCAGCAAACCTAAGTACGTTTTAAACTGATTCTATTTAAATAGGGAATAAATGTGATATTTTTAAGGAGACATTTTAGTGTAAATCCATTCAGGGAAATGGAAATTCGCTTAGTCTGCAGGTTTGCTGCGGCGGGGGTATTTAGTTTTTATGTCTAAAGAGGCCAAAAACACCATTCGTTTCAATTTATATTTTTTGTTTGATTTATTCAGAATCTTCTGGTGTCATTTCTTCATATATTAAATTCCTCCCTTCTTCCAGAACCACACACTATCTTTTCTGTCTGAATTCATTCGTTTTCCTTTGCGTTTATTCATTTCGAATCCACCTGATTCGTTCTCAAATACTCAAATTCAAGAGGGAAAATCAAATTTTACCATTGGGACAAAATAGGTAAAACAATGTGCTAAAAATGTTGGGACAGTTAAAAACTATAAATTTGAATTACGTAAAACAATTTCATAAATGTGTCTTACATTTATGCAAAATTATCATCCTTATTGCCAGTGTGGAAAAATAATTGAGAAGAACATTAATTGATGTTGTCTACATTTTTAACCTAGTGTACGATACTTGGATGTATAATACTTGTAATACTCAAAACTTAGTTGGTTTCTTAAACAAATTCTGTATGCCTTAAAAACGTAGTGACAATAATAAAAGTTATAACTACTTTTTATTCATGAGTTAAGCTACCTTTTAAGGAAATTAATTGTATGACCAATCAGTGTGATGATTTTCCTAATGTTTTAAACACAAAATTACATTAATTATTTTCAATGGAAATGTTTATCAAAATAATTTCCTTGACGGACTAGAATGTAAAAAATGACTGCTAATTGTGCATAAAATCAGATACCATATAATTTGCAGGTTATTTTGTATACAATTTGCATTTTAGTTTGTTCAACACCACAAACCGTGGCTCTTTTGTTTTGGCTTGCCTTGTCACATTAATTCCAGTATTTCTAATGAGGTTTGGCACTATTAGTGTTAATTATTTTATCAAATAGCCTGCAATTGTTGCGAGATTTTAGTTACACATTAAGTATATCATTTATTTTAACCATGCCTAATCCTGAGTTTCAGGATTTTTGGATTATTTACATAACCGAAGTTAAACTTTAAAGGTAATGAAGTCAATTATAAGTGGTGAAATTGTGGGATTTGCCTATGTAATTCAGGAAAAGGTTACTGGTTTTAATCTATGAAACTGTATCTTAAAGATATGTAAACCTTAAAATAGAAGCCTATATTTCTTCACTAGTGCGTAAAGTGACTTTTTTCGACCTGAGCTCAAGTTTCACTTCTCTAAACTTAGTAAATGGTAGGCCTACATTTTACAGTTCCAAAGATGTTTCTTTCTTTTTCACAGTAATAAAGTTTCCACAATTTTTTTAATTTAGTTTTTTCCTTTTTCATGAGTTATCTTGAGTTTTTTTTCATAATTCTCCTCAGTAATTTTCTAACATAACATTTTGACTATAATAAAACTGTGTAAATATTTTTGGTCGCCAAATGGAAAACGCAACTCTGTTTGGAAATATCAAATAAATGAACCATAGAAGGATACATTTGGGGGAAATGAAGTCAACAGACATTACTCGATTTCCTGGAATCGTTTGCCCATTTGCTTCTAAAAAGCAGGATTTTATAGTGTCCATTTGCAAACAGTAACATTATTGAATTCATAACCTTCAGAATAAAATCTCTTCTCTTTTGTCAAACCCAATGTATTGTTCGGTAAATTTCAAAACAAACCGTTCTTTTTCTTTTCATATTGTATTATCGTGTTAACTTTTAACAAAACAGTAACTTTACAGTGTTATTGTTTAGTAAAGCTTATTATATTTTGTATTCCAATAGGTTATGAGGTTTGAATTATTGAAATTTTTCACACATTTCTATTAGTTTATGTTTTTAAAATAAGTTGAATAAATGAATCTGTCTTTGCAGCAGAATCAGAATAGACTCAAACTGCAATAGATGCTCATGGGTGTTATTATGATCATTTAAGATATTTTCGTAAAATAATTACGTGGTGTAAACAGTTTTGTAAACCAATCGATGGGTGTGAAACTGTTTACTACAAAAGATTTGAAGTACCACATTTAAGTGTCCGTCTGTTGTAAAGCTTAGAGATAATTTCTTCAAGTTTTGTATAACAGCTTTTATTTATTAATGTTGTTTGTTTTATGATCTAACCTCAATTTATTTGTCCAACCTTCGAAAATGGTTGGACTTCTTATACAGTACTTCAATTTAAACTTAAAATAGTATTATTATTATCTACTAGTGTACCTGTTGCTCGAATTCGAGCAATTGCTAAGTATTACATGCGTTATTTTAAAACGAATAACAGTCATAATTTCTGATGACTTTAAGACTTTCCTATGTTCCATAGTTTGCAAATCGGCTCTTTCAATGATTACTAAGAAATTCAGCACAGTGTTGATTCTGTTTTATTTTTAAAATATCAAATTATACAGGCTCTCTCGCTTTTTTCCATTGTATTTACGCCAACCCCAATTCAAGTACGGTAGTAAATATTTCTTTAACCAAGTCAGTTAATGTTTGTAGCAAACTGTTAAATTAGCAAACTTATTGACTGTTTACAATTTACATATGTTATTCTTCTCATTTTTAATTTCTGACAACAGCTGAAGTTTCATAACAAAGTTTGTTCCCAATGTTAATCTTATGGAGAAATACAAAACTTTAAAGGGTCCTAGTGCCTCACTCTCTAATTATTTCCCTAAAAAGAAAGTTTCCTGCACAACTTCATGTTGTTACACTCTTTCCAATGACACCAAAAACGTGTCAATTGGTTCAGTAGTTTCGGAGGAGTAATTGTCACAAAAAAACTGCTTGCGTATTAAATAAGTATAGATTTAGTAAGAGCCATCAAATAAATATTCTAAATCAAATATGACTTGTCCTATGATATAAATACCGTTCAAATGCTCTCACCTTTAATTCACTCTTCCTGTTTGTTATTAGAATGAACCCCTCCAGTCAATAAAAAATAAATAAATAACATATTCACGTTTTTGAATTGAGAAGCAAAAACTATTATATTGCTGATACTTTCTGTGTTCACTTTAATTTACAATATCAAAACTCAGTGAAAACATATATTTTATTAACAACAGTACAATTAATTAATTATGTTGAATGTGTTGTTGCGGTTGGTTAAGTAAATTGAACAGCAAACAAATGCGCGGTTGCACCCTCTCTTGGTAAGAGTTGGTTTGCTTTTCTATGATTCCAAACACAACAAAATTGTTGATGAAAATATGTGTTGACTTGAATGATGAAAGTATTGTGTGTTAGATTATGAATATGTATTCTGTGAGGATTACTGCATAGTTATAAGGGAATATTGTATTTGTTATCTGCATTCTACACTGAATAGATATGAAATATCCTGCTTTATTCAATGATTATATATCTGTGTTATTGGAAAATGGTGCATCCTTCCACTTAAGCTTTATATCAAAGAATAATTTTATAAACAATGTGTTGTTCCTAAATTCAAAAGTCTTTTGTAAGCTTTTAAAGTATTTACTTTTTTTCGATAATAATATGTAGGCCTACAAAGGCTTTATTCCTATTAATTGAGCAAAAACTGTTCATGTTACTACCTAATCGATGATCAAAGTTTAACTGTACTGCAGCAAAAACGGATGTTTTCAATATTTGAGTCGGACTAAAGTTCCTGTAGTTATTCTCAGGCCAAAAAAGATTCAGCTTTACATATTTCTTGTTTTAAAATTTGTTTATTTTGCCAACAAAAATAGTTACAATATTAGTAAAAATATTATTGTGTGGTTAAATGTTTTCATTGTAAAATGTGTTTGTTGCTTGTCACTTTATGTTTCACTAAAATAACATCGACACATCTTTTGACATTTTGTCAGATTTAATTGAAACATTTTCAAGAGTCATTTGTATTTATTATTGTGTTGGTTGGTGGACACATGCTGCATCTAAACAATGGTCACAGCTGGTCCAATAGCAAAAAATAGCAAAACTATATTAATAATAGTCAGAAACTATGTTTGGGGCTAATTTATAAAAGTAAACAATATATGCAATTTAGCTTTTGTGAATTATTTGCGCAGTGCAAAAAAGTATACTTAATATGGGTCCTTATTGACTTATTGTAGTGTGTTCGTGGCTCATGATGACAAGAGTCTCTTTAGGCCTTAGTGATGCAATATACTATTAAGGTATTGGAATAGGTATTGTTGTGTGAATTAGAAAAAAAAAACATTCGCTTACACTGGTGCAATTTTTGTTTATGTTTAAATAATATTCTCTTCCCGGATTAAGAAAATCAAGATATTAACGTATTACAAATCATGGTTAGCTTTACTCATCTTAATGTCGTGTCTCATGGTGATTCAAGCTTACTGTATTTTAAAATCTCTAATAGTTGGTAATATGTTGCAGATAATTGACATCAGAGATATTTTACGAGCCCCGACGATTGACCAAATGAAAGATGTGTACATAGTGCAGTGTCTAATGGAAACTGATCTATACAAGCTTTTGAAGACGCAGGTAAGGTTTTTGCCGAGTAATACACTTTGTGACGTTAAACCGTCATTATCTAATTATAATTACTTTGAGCTTACACACAAACCAGATTAATAATTCTTTATGGTAAAATTGTGTTTGAAAATGAATGACTGATTATTAACCTTTTACTTTAATTACTTCATTCAAAATTATTTAAAGCCAAGTTTTCCTAGGAGCGGAATCGGCGAGCGGAGAGAGGAATGCGGAGAGCGGACTCCACTTGTCTTAGGCAATTTAATGTTACTGTTTTCCTAGAAACGGAGCGGAATGCCATGTTAATTTCAATTCCGCTCTCCGCGTTCCTCTCTCCGCTCGCCGATTCCGCGCCTAGGAAAACCCAGCTTAAAGCAAATTTCAACATGTAATTTTGATTTTCCGAACTTTTAAGCTCTAAGTAAAATTCTTTTTCTGTTTTCTTTCTTATACCAACGTGAGACTTATTTGAGTGAGACCTTTGAGTTGTCAAGTACTTCTTCTAAAGTAAGGTGAACGTGTAGTATTTTCTTCTTAACTCATAGATGTTTTCAAAAAGTGTAGCTTTAAGTTCTCCTTTGTTTTCTCGCTCTGAATTTAAATAAATACAAATCTTTAGGTTTTTTTTTTACAATTTGAGACATTGTTTAAAAAGTGTACTTTTGAGTTCTATTTTACTTTTATCAGTCAATGTAAAACATTTCGCAAACAAGTAGTTCAGTATAATTTTCTTGTCCAAATGCAAGATATATGGTAACACCTGTGCTATTGTTGTGCAGAGGCTAAGCAACGACCACATCTGCTACTTCTTGTACCAGATCCTGCGAGGTCTCAAGTACATCCACTCGGCCAACGTGTTACACAGGGATCTCAAACCCAGCAACTTGCTGCTCAATACCACCTGCGACCTCAAGGTAAATCATATCACTACGTATTAAACAATAGCTTGTTTGTTGTAGCGAATTTCCCACATAGGGAATAAGCTATTACCGTAGTACTCATGGTAAGACATGGATCCGGGACCAATTTACTTTTTCGTTTTTGAGGTCCCTAGAGGCCAAAAACACCATCCGTTCAAATTCATATATATATATTTGATAACTCGAGCAAAAATGATTTTGATTTTGATTAAATTTGGTATAACATGTAAAGCTACATTATTCTAACGAGTTCGCGAACCAGCATGATTGGACTATGAGAACGGGGGTTTATGGAGGGTTTTATTGGGTAAAAATAGGTTTTTCCCATTTTTGACCCTAAAAACGCAAAATTTCACAATTTCTTTCCAAACCATTTTGTTGAGCTTAAATAAACATACAACAATTTAGTAGGCTACATTGAAGTGTTATTGTGTGCCTAATGGTTACAGAGAAAATTCCAAAAATTCTTATGTTATTCTTAAGAATATTCTTAGCATAAGTCAACTGTTGTAGTTTGCTTGTTTATGAACATATTTTGATCAAATTTTGAAAATCTATTCATTTCTCACTAGACTATTAACATTTAACAAAAAAAATTACCCTCCCTGTTGCAGCAAACCTAAGTACTCGTTAAACTAATTATATTTAAATAGAAAATAAATGTGATATTTTTAAGGAGGCATTTTAGTGTAAATGTAAATCCAATCAGATTAATGGAAATTCGCTTAGTCTGCAGGTTTGCTGCGGCGGGGGGTATATATATATATATATTTTTTTTTTTCCCCCGAAGACGCTAGGCACGAGCCTGGGATTGTTTTTCACATTACTTCAGGCTAGACCCAGGGGTTGCGGCATTATCACATTATCACTTTGTTAAAATCCATTGGTGATTTGGCAGGATTTAAACTCGGGATCTCGGGAACCGAAGTCCCACGCTCTAACCACGTATTAAACAATAGTAGACTCACAGAGATTTAAGATTCAGATGAAACACTTAGTTGTACATCAAGTTGTGTCTTGGGCAAAGTCCAACCAACCCTCCTTTGTCCTCATCTACTACAACGCTTATGGTGGACTCTGTGCCCTGTTTGATACGAATTTCCGTACAGTGCTCGCCTTTTAGGCTCTTCCTTGGTAGTCACTAGTATACTTCCAGCTCAACATACCAGAGTTAAAAGCGCACGGGCGTCCGATAAGCGTGTTTCCTCTCTGTAGACACAGATGAACAAACAAGCATAGGTTTTGGTAATTTTAAGAAATCTCATGTTGGCTATTTTGGTATCAAATGGTCCCATGAAATCAGTTCCAGTATGCAAGAATGGTTTAGATGGTGTGACTCTGGGTTTTGGTAAAGACGCCATTAATGGAATGGTGTTTGTTGGCTTGTGTCGGAAACATGTGACACAGTTGTGGATCCGTTTTCGAATGATGTTTCGTGCGTTTAAGATCCATACACAACGATATAAGATGGATTGGATGAATAAAGGACCGGCATGCAAGTAGGTAATGTTTTTTTTTTTTTTTTTTTTTTTTTTTTAAAGAGGTTGGCGGCCTCTTTTAACCTTGCATTTGCCCGTCCACATAGACTAAGCGCCCGTGCGTGGATCGTTAACAGCAAAGCAAGGAGTGAGCCAGTACAGTACAAAGGTGAACTGTACTGATAAAATGTTATCGGCAGTGACCAGGATCCGAACCCACGACATCGCTGCCTTGGGCCCGAAGTCCGCGACGCTACCGACTGAGCCACCGACTCACTAACAAATGTGCCAGTAGTCTATGTAAATATTTGTGATGTGGTGAGATTTAGGTAATAATATCGGATGTTTTGACTGGTATGGAAGTTCAGAATTCTGAAGACGCCCTCCGACACGAATAATGTCATTGTCATCAATGAACGGATGGAGTGGTTTCAGTTTGTTAGGACAATGGTTGGCTTGAAGTTCCTGTTTTTCAGTGGCGAAGACTTCTGATTGGACTCTGTGAAAGATCTTTAATGTAGATGTGCGCAATTCGTCAGTTGTGATGAAACCTATGATACGATTCTGTTTATTCAAACAGTTGTGTTTGAATCGTAAAACAATTGCAATTATACGCACTAGTTTTGTCCACGATGAATAAAATTTGAGTGGTTGCCATTCAGTGATACCTGTAGTTACAAACACAGGCAATGGTGTTGGTTTTAATTTCGGACAAAACTTCAGAATTAAAGTCAGTTTTTGGATGCTCTTGCTTTGGCCAATCTGTTGATGGACGTGAAAGCCATGATGGCCCTGACCACCACATATGATTTTCTTCCAGCTGTTTGACTCGTAAACCACGAGAACCACAGTCAGCAGGATTGTCATTAGTGTTAACGTGATGCCACACTTCAGTGGAGTGCGATTCTTGAATCGTGGCAACTCGATTGGCGACAAAAGTTTTAAGTTGGTAAGCTGGGGTTTTGATCCAGGTTAAGACAATCGTGGAATCAGACCACAAGAAGATGTTGTTTGTATTAAACATGTTGGGAAACAATGATGTGCAATGTGATGTCAACTTTGACAGCAAATGAGCTGCACATAACTCTAAACGAGGTATTGTGGTGCGACGTAATGGAGCGACACGACCTTTTGCCATAACAAAGTTTATGGTGACTGAATCATCAAGATGAACACATCTGAAATAAATTAAACAAGCAAATCCTGTTTCTGAGGCGTCCGCAAAACCATGAAGCTCAATGCCTTTTAAAGAATGCAGATTTAAAGAACGTGGTATGGTGATGTCTGATAAATATTGAGTATCATCGGAGAATCGTTTCCACTGATCGATAATAGAATCAGGTAAAATGCTGTCCCAACTGATTCCAAGAGTACAGATTTGTTGCATAATACACTTGGCTATCATGATGCATGGAGTTAAGAATCCACACGGGTCATAGATTTTAGCGATTGCGCTAAGAACATGTCGTTTTGTAAGATTTGCGTTGGAATCTAGATTAGTGGTAACGTAAGTGAAAACGTCCAACGTAGGTGACCATTGGAGACCTAATACAGTAAATTGAGGACAGGTGGATTCAGACACAAATTTTGGAGTTTCGCGATGTGACTCAGGAAGATCTTGAAGCAACTGTTCTGAGTTTGACATCCACTTGCGAAGTTCGAATTGACCACATTGCAATAACTGAGTAAGTTGAGTCTTAAGTTGTATGGCCTCTTCCAAAGTGTCTGAGCCAGTAATAATATCATCCATATATGTATGGTGTTTTATTGCATAGGCTGCTTGAGGGTACTTGTGACCTTCATCAGTAGCTAGCTGGTGCAAGGTTCTAATAGCTAGATATGGAGAACAATTCATACCATATGTAACAGTGTTAAGTTGATATGTTTGCATAGGCTTATTTGGTGAATCGCGCCATAGAATCAGCTGATAGTTACGATCCGAAGGATGAATCACAATTTGGCGATACATTTGTTTGATGTCTGAGCACATGGCAATACGATGTCTTCTGAACTGAGTCAGAATGTCAGCTATGTTAGGTTGCAATGCTGGACCAGTCAGTAACAAGTCATTGAGTGAATGGCCAGAATCAGTTTTGCAACTTGCATCAAATACAGTGCGAAGCTTAGTTGTTGAACTAGATTCTTTTAACACCCCGTGATGAGGTAAATAATAATGTTGCGGAGTTAATGACGATACATCTATGAGAGACATATGATCAAGAGATAAGTATTCATGCATAAAATCTTTATACAGCATAGAAAAACGTTCGTTACGTGAAAACTTACGTTCCATTGCAATTAAACGTTGCTTAGCTGCATCAATGGACGAACCTAACATTTTGGATGAGCCTTTAAACGGTAATCGTACAATGTATCTACCGAGTTCGTCTCTGCTATGAGTGTCTGCGAATAACTTTTCACAATGAATATCTTCTTGGGATTGTTGTTTGTGATTTGGGATTTCTTCTAAGAGCCAAAATCTTTGAATGGAATCGTGTATATCATTTAAACTTGTAGTATGCAAACAAATATTTAAAGTACTCGATTGAGATGTGCATGATTGCAATGTATCAGGTGTACATGGAGTAGTACCAATAATTATGTTACCACATGGAGTATTAATTATTGATGGCAATGTGCTGCCGAGTGATGTAACAGGACCTGTGAATAAATGAGGTACCAAAGATGCTCCTAAAATGACATCAATGCGGTTAGGAAGATGAAAATTAGGATCTGCTAATTGTTCATGTTTCAAGCGTGAAACCACCTCTGGAGCTACTGGACATCGAGGAATGTTCAGTGTAAGCTTATCAAGTATAACAAATGAATGGTTCGGCTGTAGTGTAATTCCCGATAAAGTTTCAATGTTTGCTGTAATTTGTCCCTTTGTTTTCGTACTTTGCTGACTGATGCCTACAATTTGAGTAAAACATCTGCTTCGAGGAGTATTCAGTAAATGGACAGCACGTTCAGAAATAAGAGACGCCATGCTTCCTGTATCAATAAGCGCACGAAATGTTTGAACCTGTCCACTGGAACTACGTATGTTAATTAATAAAGTTCCCAATAAGACCATTGCTGCTTGTGAAACGGTGGTTCGAGGATTACGGACATTCAAGGTGATTGGATTTTGTGCATCTGTATTAAGATTGGATGGACGAAACTGCTCATTACGTTTGTGTGAATTGGATTGTCCAGCTTTATTTGTGAATGTCAGTTCTTCAGTTGGAAAGTGCAATAAGGTGTTGTGACGTTTACTACAATGTTTACAAACTGACTGAGACTGACATGTTTGAGAACTGTGATTTCCTAAGCAAGAAATACAATGATGATGTGATTTTACTGCCTGGAATCTGTCTTGTGGTGATAGTTTTAAGAATTTGGCACAGTTGTAAGTTTTATGATCAGTGCCATCACATCCAGCACACAGCAACGTAATTTGTTGAGGTTTGGGTTTTGAGTTGAATATTGGGCTTGTTATAAATTTACGTGTGTTAACCTGTTTTTCTGGAACAT